GATGAGGTCGTCACACGATGACACATAACTGTACCATGTCCTGACATTCGTCAAGGTTAGCAAGTCCGAACACAGGTGTCGAAGTCGTCAGATCGTGTCACCCCAGTGTCCTCTCTTATCACCAGGTTGCCAGTCAGTAGACGGATGTTGACGTGGTCCCTGCAGTGTCCCCTTGTTCTAGACATTTTCTGGTTAACCAGCCCCAAGACTGGGATCTCTTTCAGATCATCATGACCATTGCCGCCGTTGTTATTATTCTGTTGTTACATATATATATCACACGTGGCTGGCAGTCTATGCCTCGATTCCGTTATATTATTTCGATATCATGGAAGGAATCCAGCTCAGCAAGACTGGGCCTTGTCGGTTTGTTTAGGGTTTCTTTAGGGCAGTCTTTCTGAAAATTCCTAATGCGGCGACCCTTTAATATAGTTCCACATGCTGTGGCGAACCACAAGCATACAATTATTTTCGTTGCTACTTCATAACTCCAGTAAAATTGTGTTTTCCGATGGTCTTTGACGACCCCTGTAAAAGAGTCGTTTGAACCCCCAAAGGGATCGCGATCCATAGGTTTGAGAACGGCTGCTTTTAGGGAGTCCTCGTTTTCCCTTTCAGTGCCTCTTTAGTAGTTCTCTGTTTCTTCTCAGGGTTTGTCCTGAACACTGCTTTCTTTTTTTTTTTTGGGGGGGGGGGTTGTTCGGGGGGGGGGGGCGTGGTGGAGGGGGGGGGGGTCGGTGGGGGGGGGGGGGGGGGGGGGGGGGGTCCTAAAACTTTTCTTATTTCTTCACCTTTCATAAATTCATCCAAATTAATGTTTGCTCATTTGCGTTGGCATTTATTTTAAAATATTAACACCTAAAGACTTGATTACAAGCGCTCTTTCACTGACAACTCAATTCCTGTCAACTGCTATCTCGTGTCAGACGCTGAGCAACGAACTACATGATATCCATATGATATCCAAGGAAACTGCTTTCTATTTACGACAAACCTATGGTCAAGTCTTGGTCAGACATGATGAAACAATAGTTGGTATTACATGTTCTCTACTAAGGCTAAATTTTGGGCAGTGTATACAAAACCTGACAGCCCTATTTTGGGAACAGCACATGGGGTAGAATTAGAAGCCTTATCATAGAAAAAGGAAATACAATCTGCAAATTTAATGTTACAGCAGGTCAGCCCAAGTCCTCAATCTTGATTGGCAGCTGTTCTAGGCGGGAAGCTCCCACAGCCCGACAGTGCAAAGCTCTTTTCATTCGGCAGCTTTTATGGACATATATGACTCTAATGTAGTGGTGTTACCTTTCATTTGGAATTAACAAAGCAGGATAAGAGAGAGAAAGAGAGCGAGGCCGTGCTGCATGGGTTTAACGGGATGGCCACCATAATGCCAAGGCTTTGTGTTATCCTCTGGCAAGACAAAACGGTGCTAACAAATGTGACAAAACACATATCGTGTGTGTGCGAGCGCTTTGTGCTGACTAGTGCGTCTCTATCTGGAAAAACGGCACCAGTTGGTGTCTAAACAGAGAGACACGCGAGGCATCTGACTCCTGTCTATTCGACACTAAACATACCCCCCCCCCCCAACATACTACTACGGCTGCTACTACTGCGGCTACGAGTAATTTACAGCAGTACTAAGGTTTTATTATTTTTTTTCTTTCTTTATGTCGTCCCGAGAACTAAACAGGCTCCAGTGGATCAGGAGGTGAGGAAAAGACGCTGGCTTTGGATAGGGCACACACTGAGAAAACAGGAGAACAGCATAACTAGAATGTCTTTGCATTGGAACCCACAGGGGCATAGGAATAAAGGAAGGCCAAAAAACACATGGAGAAGAGAGCTGGAGAATGAGGTTAGAAAGATTGGGAGGACATGGGGAGAGCTCCAGGTAATGGCGAAGGATAGAACGACTTGGCGTGAGTTGGTTGAGGGCCTATGCTCCATTGGGGGATAGAAAGGCAGAAGAAGAAGAAGATGTCGTCCCGTAACAAAACGTCGTTGGGTTACTATTTATTGCTGACTGTGTGATCGGCTCCCGCCACCTTTGACGGTCAGATTCTATTAACTCTATGGCTGCATGCCTACCAGTCATCAATCATGTTCTGTATCCAGGTCTTTCTTCGTCAACCTCTTCTCCTCTAATGAACCTTGTAGTATGGTTTTCTGAGAGGCTAATAGATCTGATTGCATGTCCGTTTCATTACATGTTTCGTCTTTTTACAAGAGGGTTTTTATAGTTCTGGGTAATTACACGCCGAGCCTCGTCATTCATGACATGGTCTCTGTATAATACAAAATTGTTAGCAACGATATCATTTCTATTTTTCTTTCTAGAGTTGGGTTTTGAGGTCCACGTATCACATCCATATGTAAACGCATAATAACTAGTGCTCTGAGCAATCGTAGCTCAAGTTTCATCTTTATTTTTGGATAATATTTTGTTTGGCAAGGACTGATGTCTGTGCAGCCCTTTCTTTATCACTCCCGCCTAAACCACAACAGTTCCACTGTCTATTTGCCTCAAATTTTCCACACCAAAACCTACATATACGTCATGTACGTGCGTGCGTCTCCTTGACTTCCCTCAAGCCCGTGGCATACCTCCGAAACTCCCCCAACCCCAGTACTCCACTAACTGGCACTAACAAAATTAGGGTCGTTTAGTTCCAATCAGGAAAAGCTTTCAATCTCTAACATGTCGTTGTGTCGACCTGCAGCTTAAGAGCAATCCCGCAACCCCCTCTTCCACACTTACTCGAGTCTCTCTCTCTCTCTCCCTCTCTCTCTTTCTCGCGTGCGAACCCCAATAGTACACAGCAGACGATCCTTCTAAAAAAAACAAGAAGCAGTTATGGCCCTACTTGCGTTAAACTTCTTCGTTTCGTTCATATAAGTACATCGATTCCCCCCCCCCCCCCTTTTGTTGCATTTTGCAAACAGTTTTTAATATTAGTTTATATTTTCTCTTCTCTTCTCTTCCGTTTCTCACTCGGAAATGCCACAAGGTTTGACCATAATGAGATGGCAAGCCAAAGGGTAAGTTCCAGAAACCCCGTTCAACCTCCAAAGAAGTTACAATTGGGGCTGTCGTATCGACCTTGTCAGGTTGGTAGATCCTGTAATCATGTGCGGGTAAGGATCAGACTAAAATACCCGTTTTCTTCACACACGGATAAGGATTCTTCTCTCGTGCGTTAATTTTCGCAGTTTTATCCACTGTAGCACGGACTGCCTATCAAAAACAAATCATCATCATCATCATCATCATCAACAGCAGTTACTCCCCTTTTCCTGTGTGTTTCCTCTCCGTGGCCCCACTGTCAGCCACGTTTTGCACACACATATTTATAGCAGCAGCAGCAGCAAAAGTAGTCATCGTCGTCAGCAGCAGTTCTCAGCCCTTTCCCTGGCCAGCTCCCCTTCCCTGACCCCACTGTGAGCCAAGTTCTACAAACAGATATATCTCATAGAATTCATCACAGCCTCATGTTTCCTAGGCGCCAGTCTACATTAGCCGCTGCTTCTCACCCATTCATCTTCATTCAAGCTTTAAGAAAAAGAAGGGGGAAAAGTCAGACAAGCTAGCTAGTGGAGTGGAAGAGCGCGGGACTTGAGTATCTGAGCCAGGTATCCTGGCTGATAAAGAACTCAGCAGGGGTAAAGAGCAGTCCAGATGCTTGTAAGGCAACCATGAATTTGAGAAATAGCTTATTTTGCCTCATTTTTGTTTTTAACGTGGGAAGAGTGAAGTTGTTGTTTTTAAATCATTGGTTGTATACCCTGCAATCATTAACAGTACCAGTACCCAGTGTCTTGTGTATGCTCGGTCTTCTTAGCTACACACCAGACTCAATAAAATAGACGTTTGATATATAAAATAGGTGGAAGCAAAATATACACATGCAAAAACATGTCACAGCGTGCGACAGATACTCGGACAAAGTCCATACCTTAAGATAACCGGGAGGGGTGTCACAGATACATAATCAGGAAGACACACACATAAACACACACACACATATATATATATATGTACACACACATATATATATATATATATATATATAGAGGGAGAGAGAGAGAGAGAGAGAGAGAGAGAGAGAGAGAGAGAGAGAGAGAGAGAGAGAGAGAGAGAGAGAGAGAGAGAGAGAGAGAGATTAATTAATTCATACACCTGTGCCTGTCTAGAACAGAAAGAATTATATGGTATGATAGAATCACTAATGCAAAGCTTTGGTGGAGAACTAAACAACTCCCAGTAAATCAAAAGGTGAAGAAATGACGCTGGCTTTGGATGGGTGCGCTCTGAGAAATCCTGAGAATAATCTCATTAACCAAGGCATAGAGATAGAGAATTCAGTTAAACATAGAAGAACACGCGGTAAGCTGCAGGCAAAAGATAGGATAACTTGATGTGAGTTGGCTGAAGGCCATGTTAAAATAAAGGATGCCTGGTTCGCTAGCGTAGTTAGCTAAACCGGACTTCGCGGCGACCGGGTGACAAACTTCTTGTGGTCCGGGTTCACGCCCGGGGGTGGTATGGGTATAGAAGCCACATTTATCCCAGATTTACGGTATCTATCATGGAATCAAGGCCGAAAGGTTGCGATATCAGTAGTACCGAGCCAAAGGGTTAACAACTCATGGTTTCTGAATGCTAAAAAGAAAAAAAAAAATATAAGGATAAATGACAGAGGAAAGTATTAAGCCTCAAGGCAAACCATCTGTGAAATATAGTCTTAGAAATAAACCCTCATACATGCCTTCGCTGGTATTTCCCACGTTACAACTGAAGTACTGGAAGACAAAATAATCCAGCGGGCGACAACTAGACCCCCCCCCCCCCCCACACCCCCCCACCCCCCCCCCCCCCCCCAAAAATGTATGTTGCTATTAAGTCGATAAATAAAACCACGCAAACAGCGCTAAAAGTCAATAACAAACAGTTTGTCACGCTACGGAACCGGAAAACGAACAGAAAAACTCACCCTCGCTTGTGTCCACCAACTGACCGTTGGAGTTCTGGAAGACCACGTAAGCCGACGGCGCGCTCTTCGGGGGGTCGCAGGTCAGTGTGGCGTACCCGCCTTCCGGTACAACAATGGTGACGTCGTCAACGGGTGTGAACCTGGACAGAGCTGGGGACAGAAAATGTTGAGATATCCAGGAGGGCGTATCATAGTTTCTTAGACGGTTAACACCCAAGTGCATCGTAGAGACCGCAGGACAAAAATGTACCATAGAGAGACTAAGAACACATGTATAATATAGATTCCGCAAATATATGTGTCATAAAGGGGACCACAGACATGTATCATAAAGGAACCATAGATGATTCTATCATACAGGACATGTATCATAAAGGAACCATAGATGATTCTATCATACAGGACATGTATCATAAAGGAACCATAGATGATTCTATCATACAGGACATGTAAAATAAAGGAACCATAGATGATTCTATCATACAGGACATGTATCATAAAGGAACCATAGATGATTCTATCATACAGGACATGTATCATAAAGGAACCATAGATGATTCTATCATACAGGACATGTGTCATAAAGGAACCATAGATGATTCTATCATACAGCACATGTGTCATACTAACAAATGCAATTAGCATATACACATACACACACACACACACACACACACACACACACACACACACACACGACCATGTATGATAGCGCGGACAAATGATCGTGCCTGATACCACACAGAAATGTATCGTAAACATACCACAAACTAATTTATCATAAAAATACCACAGACAAATGTATCACAAAGAGCATCTTTATTAAAGCTACCACAAATACATTTAATTAATACGTAAGGTTAGTAATTTGTACCCCATCAGAACATCACACAAGCGATAAACAGCCGGTGACTCAAATGCCACCATGCGGATGAGGATCACCCGTGGAAAGGTCCCGGAAACCCCGTTCAGCCGTTAGACCATATTTAAGGCCGGGCTATATTCTGGACCCCAGTCAAAAGCCAGAGTGGGGATTCAAAATAACTGAAAATTGCATCCCACATGGGGACAACGATGATTATTATATCTACATTTAATAGGGACCATACAAATTTATTTTTTAAAGATACTATAAACTAATGTATCATAAAGATACCACAGAATAATGCATCATAAAGATATCACAGACTAATGCATCATAAAGATACCACAGACTAATGTATCATAAAGATACCACAGACTACTGTATCATAAAGATACCACAGACTACTGTATCATAAAGATACCACAGACTACTGTATCATAAAGATACCGCAGACTAATGTATCATAAAGATACCATAGACTAATGTATCATAAAGATATCACAGACTAATGTATTATAAAGATATCACAGACTAATGTATCATAAATATACCACAGACTAATGTATCATAAAGATACCACAGACTAATGTATCATGAAGATACCACAGACTAATGTTTCATAAAGATACCACAGACTAATGTATCATAAAGATAACGCAAACTAATGTATCATAAAGATACCACAGACTAATGTATCATAAAGATACCACAGACTAATGTATCATAAAGATACCACAGACTAATGTATCATAAAGATACCGCATACTAATGTATCATAAACATACCACAGACTAATGTTTCAAAAAGATACCACAGACAATTGTATCAGAAACAGCATCATCATCACTGGTACCACAGATACATTTAGCAAATAGGAACCATCGACAGCTACACCATAAAGGCACACCAACCTGGTTTGGACAGATGTGCAGGCTGGCTGATGATCGTCCCCTGGGATGTGGTGACCGTGCAGCGGTACTCGCCCTCGTTGCTGTCATCACTGCCTGCCTGATGGAGGAAGTGCAGGTTCGAGCCCAGGACTTCCAGATCGCGGTGGCGCCGCCCGTCAAGCGGCTGGCCATCAAACAACCATCGAATCTGTGCGTCTTCGGGCGTTGCTACACATTTCAAAGTTACCGGGGCACTCTGGGATAACACCTGAGACTGCGGCTGCTCAATGAACTCCGGCAATTCTTCTGAGGACAGAAACAAAAACATCACGGAATCACAGGACGATCTCTGGTGCTTTCCTAATGTTCTATTCCAAAAAGGGGAAATCCAGAGGTCACGGGACAGTATTTCAGGAGGTGGCAGATAGGCAGTCGTTGGACCTAGGCTACACTCTCTGGCGGGACGTTGGTGGGTTGGGGTTAGGGCCAGTTTTAGATGTTCTGATGTCGTTAAAAGCATAAGAAAACCGGAAAACCCAGTCTTACCATCCTCTAAAATGTTGGACTGTCCTGTGACGTGATCTGGAGTAGGATATTGCGAAAGAACCCGATCACTTATAAGCTCGTTAGGAGCCATAATTACAAAACTATACAATGACAAAATCAATATAAAACAGAATTTCTAATCCTTGTGTGGGTTCCACAACCCCCAACAACGAGGTGGCACGAAACTAACCGGCCAGGCTAACCTGGATTACAAATGGGTAAATTTTACGTGGGGGAGGGGGGCTGGGGGGCTGTGTGGTCTCGAAGCATGGGCGTCCGTCTAGGTGCTCCGAGTCACGGGTTTTCAGTCGCCGGGTCTCGAAGCATGGCGTCCGCCTAGAGTGCTAGAGTCACGGGTTCAGGTCCCGGGTCTCGAAGCATCGCGTCCGCCTAGAGTGCTAGAGTCACGGGTTCAGGTCCCGGGTCTCGAAGCATGGCGTCCACCTAGAGTGCTAGAGTCACGGGTTCAGGTCCCGGTGAAGGCTGGGAATTTTTTTTTTATTCACTCGGACTTAACAATAATTTCCCCTGGTCTCAGGATAGTAAGTCCGGACGCGCGTGTAAGACCGCTCGTGTGATTTTTGCGCACAGTAAAAAAAAAAAACCCCCATTGGCAGTTGGAAATAGACAAGAGTAGCCTAACGGCGCTACCCGGGCAAAATTTAGGGTTAAAAACCTACCCAAAGTATGTCAGGATCCTCGCCAGTACAACGGAGTTCGAGCACTGTACTGAGATGCTTCAGACTCAGGCTTGAGTTAACGGTAGAACGGAGCACTTATGAGTTACACCCGTGTGCCAAGATGGTGATCCGTTGAATAAACCAAACCAACCCAATCTTCTCGTGGCTTTTACTTCAGTGGTGCGAGAGTCGTACCGTGGAAGTTACTGGAGCTTCACCGTATAACATTTCCAAAGATAACAGTGGATACATTGCAGACAACCGTTACAGTGCAGACGGGACCATTTTTAAAACAATTTTATATCTGTTGGTGTGGTCTTTTCTTTCTTTTTCCATGCCATCCCCCATCTCTCTCTCTCTCTCTCTCTCTCTCTCTCTCTCTCTCTCTCTCTCTCTCTCTCTCTCTCTCTCTCTCTCTCTCTCTCTCTCTCTCTTACACACACACATCTCTCTTTCAATTCAACTATATGTACAAAATTCTCTCGCTCGGTCCATTGCCTAAAAAGGAAAAATAAACATAAGCGGCAGAAGGAGTTGGGATGGGGGGGGGGGGGGGGGAGGGTAATATGATATGAGCTATAAATCCCTGATAGAAATCTCTAGATCCCAGGATCTAGGCCTGCCAGAGTCAACAACTGGAATTTGGGTTTGAGTCTCCAAACCCTGAATGTTATCTACCTAATTATTGGGAACAGCGAAGGCAATCTTTGTAAACTGGAACCTGATTGGCTGAGCCGTTAAGCTCAACGGTTATGCACAGCAAAGGGAGTATAGGATTCTGATTTCATAGACTGAAAAGCATTGGGGTTCTAGGCCTGCCATCGGGAACCTTCGGCTAGTGGGATTGGTACGGCTAGTGCAGTGTTTTACATCCAGATTTAGATGTTTTTCTTGCATTTAAATGGCGTTTTTGACGTTCAGAGGTAGAGGTTTTTCTAGATGATTTTCATTTGAAGTGAATTTATCAAATCTAACATAAGAAACAGGATAAATTTGACCTCTTAAATGCTATCATGACAATAAAGTTTTGCCTAATAAGAGTAGGAAAAGGTTGTTCCACTTATCAGCTCCCTGATTGGGTATTAAAAGAAATTGGAACAGCTAAAGCATACCAGAGTCATTTTGGATCTGAAGCTTCAACTTCATCATTTAAGCTAAGTTTATCCTGTGGATCTTGTAAGGCAGACTTCAGTAAAGATGCGGGCATGATTCTATAGGGTAAGTCATATCAATTGCTATGCAATTTGTGACTCTTTCCATATGGATGTTTTTTCTAGATGTTTTCCCACGCAAATTTAGATGTTTTTAGATATTTTTAGACTCCGTTTTGGATGTTTTTTGTCAAAGAAAAGTGGCAACACTGGGCTAGTGGCATTGGTACGGCTAGTGGGATTATTGCGGCACTGGTCCACAGTGACTGGATAACGTTTGAATGAAGTTTTCTCCAAATAATATTTTTATTTCAATGTTCTGAAGCCATTATTTGTGAAACCTTGATATACAATTGCAACATACGATCGTTACATTTTTTCCCTTCTAAATTCCCGTGTGGCTGTTAGTTACAAGAAACAGCTCTCCGAGACATCATCATCATCATCATCATCATCGTATGCATACCGATAAGCGCAGGGTAGCATGCTCATTATCCCGCATGATCACCAGAATCACGGATATGGTCAGTGCTCTTGTACCGCCCCATCCACGCGGCCAAGACACCCAGGTATTAATTTACATCTTCCCCTTACTATTTTCCTATAAATCTTTTCATCTGCCAAAACAAATCTTATCAGCTGCCAAATCAAATCTTATCAGCTGCCTTCTCAAATCCTATCCGTTGCCAAATCAAATCTTATCAGCTGCCGTATCAAATCCTATGTTGCCAAATCAAATCTTATCAGCTGCCTTCTCAAATCCTATCAGTTGCCAAATAAAATCTTATCAGCTGCCTTATCAAATCCTATCCGTTGCCAAATCAAATCTTATCAGCTGCCGTATCAAATCCTATGTTGCCAAATCAAATCTTATCAGCTGCCGTATCAAATCCTATCCGTTGCCAAATCAAATCTTATCAGCTGCCGTATCAAATCCTATGTTGCCAAATCAAATCTTATCAGCTGCCTTATCAAATCCTATGTTGCCAAATCAAATCTTATCAGCTGCCGTATCAAATCCTATCAGTTGCCAAATCAAATCTTATCAGCTGCCGTATCAAATCCTATCCGTTGCCAAATCAAATCTTATCAGCTGTCGTATCAACTCCTATCAGTTACTAAATCAAATCTTATCAGCTGCCGTATCAAATCCTATCAGTTGCCAAATCAAATCTTATCAGCTGCCGTATCAAATCCTATCCGTTGCCAAATCAAATCTTATCAGCTGCCGTATCAAATCCTATCAGTTACCAAATCAAATCTTATCAGCTGCCGTATCAAATCCTACCAATTGCCAAATACTGACTATTTATCTCTGATACAGCAAAGAGAAGTGAAAATACTAAGGCAGGTCTTCTTCTGCCTTCTACTCCCTTAAAATAATGTCTGGCACGTTGTGTTGTTTACAGCTAGGCTTCGACATCCCACCCTTTGGTCCAAAACAAAATATCTCATTTTTTCCAAGCCATTATAAAGTCATCTTTTACTAACACTTGTAAGAAGCAGTGGGTTATTTATTTTTCTTTAAGTCTGCCTAGCATAAAATTTCACAGTAATGAAGGCCGATGTGATCTTGATTGTATTATACTTGACAGTCGAATGGTCTGTATAAAGCACAGGTCTGCCACTATATACCTGTTCAGTAAAAGGTGTGAAATATGTCCCTTTGATTTTAATTTTTAAGGGGAGTTCAGTACTAACTGAGCAGACATACTTACAGACTATACAATCTGTTCAGGGCACTGGATTTTGAACTTTAATGTAGGTCTGCCAAAACCTAGTATCTGAAAGGCCAATTCTGATTTGTTTACAACCATCTGTGGAGTGAGAGGAGGTACGCATGATTTTGCCCACAGTACTTTGACACTGACTGGATATGAAACACTAAACATGATGGAGTCACCGATTGTCTGCATATACTGCCGGTTAGTCAGTGGCATTATGGGTAACGAGGTGGTAACTGTCCGAGAGCACTGGTCGTAAATGCAGTTAGGCTGTCCTTAAAAGTGATATCGCCTGCATCTGTCATAGGTGTTGTCAAAGAAGAACAGACTTCGAGGCCTTGATTCATTAACCACCGTATCAGCCTGTAGCAAACTATCATACACCGAGAGTATAATGTGTATGTTGCCTATTGCAAGTTTTCAATAACTTCTGCCCATAATCTACAATCTAAGTCTGACTATAAGTGGTATCCTTTAAGACCAACATAACTGCCATAAAAGGCTCTGAACCCTGGGCATCAGCTACAACAAGCCTTAGTGCACAATTTTTAGAATATAGTAGAACCTCGCTTAACGAGCACCTCTCATAACGCTTAATTCGCATAACGAGCAAAACAAATTGTAAAGGAATGACTCGCTTAACAAGCGACGTTTCGCATAACGAGTGGCGAAGAGAGGGGAAGTCCCTGATTTTGAGCATGTTATATCAGTGTTTAGCACTCGTTCCAGAAGCATTGTCGCTTGTGATCTCAAACTTGTGTTATATTGTTATACATGTACATGAATCATCTAGGCCTACAAGATGACCTCCCTGGTGAATTTAAGTTCATCAAGATCCCGTTTCTGCCTCCCAACACCACTCCGTTACTCCAGCCAATGGACCAGCAAGTTACATACCTGTTTAGTGATTCTCTCTGGCTTCTTTACAGGTGTGTTTAATGCACGGCCAGCTCCAGATTTATAAAAGTAAGATTTCTACTTTTGAAGTAGAAAAGTAATAAACAGCCAGTTCCCCAAACTCCAAACTATTGACTAGAAACAGTGACACACACATCACAACACGACTGTCTCCCGTGAATTAAAATTGCTGTAATCTAACAACAAAGTATGAGAATCTTGTTTATCTACTTTACAATATCCGCTTGTCGATTTGTAATACGAATACAATCAGAACACATAAGTTTGTAAGCATATTATAGTGTCAC